GAAAAAAAAAAAAAAAAGATGGATTCCCAGACTAAGATATCAGAGAAAGAGGGAATAGCATGAAAAATCTCTCTTTGACACTATCCTACCTAGCCACCAAAAAGTGCTCCGCCCCTTTCTCTATTGGCTTTTCTTTTCCAATTTGCTTTCCAATAGCAAAACTTTAGCAAGTAACGAGAACAATCACCCTCTTAGTTAAATTCACGAGTCAATTCATAGCACAACTGATAACATGCTCCAACAAATACATTTCTCTGCAATTCAAAGTATTTTTCATGCAAGAATACGAGGCCTGGATATGAAAACTCATCCAAATTAAGTCAAAAGTGTAAAATATGGATCATAAACACACCTGAATCTCATCAACAACGGCACATTTATAATCAGATGTCACATCTGCCATCTCAACAGTAGCAGCTTTATGTTTAGCTCCATCAACTTCATCTCTCTCTTGTCCAGTAATAAGATCACATGGCACTTTCGCCTTGTTCAGCCGCTGAGCAACTTCCCATGCCAAAAGCCTCAATGGCCCACAATAAATACCTATATCAATAGTGATTCAATCAACTTCCTAAATTCAGCTCACACAACTAACCAAAAGAACGACTCGACTAAAAGAATAAACAAAAGGAACTCGATGTACCCGAAGAACTTGACTCTAATCGTTTCAGGGCATGATACGTTTTACCACTATTTGTGGGGCCCACATGTAATATTACATTCCTTTTTTTCCGTCGAGCAATAGGATACCATGCGTGTGGACACCTAAATGTGAATGAAAAACAGCATTAACAAGAAGAACAATGAAGCAGAACTGAATGATCATATTATTGAATTCATTATTACGTGAGGTCCGTAAAATCAAATTTCTTGGGTTCTGTGGAACTGCTGAGCTTCCTTAGACATTGACTGAAACCAGCATTACCTGACCAGCAACAAAACAAATAACAAAAAGTACAAGCAAACATATTTCAAGTGGAAAAAAAAAAGAAGGCGGACGAAATAAAAATTCAATCTTTCTTATGCTACTTTCATCTCAATTTTGAAACTTTTAACAACTTGAGAGCAACTCCCAAACTCAATCAGCCCAAGAAACAAAGCAGAATTAAAAACATCGATAAAAAATCATGAAAAATCAAAA